GGGCTCCCGCGGCTCGTTAGCCAGCACAGCTCGGAGAGGGACCGGGGCCAAACGCTGATGCGGAGGTTGGGCGGGCAGGGCAGGGCAGGGCAGGGCAGGATCCCCCCCAGGAGGTGCAGGCAGGGATTTCCTTCTCGCCTGCTCCCAGGGAAGCTGCCCACAGGGTGGGCTGTCGGTGAGGACACTGGCCCCACTGGTCCCTCTGCCCTGCCAAGGAGCCAGCCCTCGCATGGTGTGGGCTCACGGCCACCACCATGGTGGGGAAAGGCGCGGGAGGGCTGGCTGCGAAGCAAACCACTGGGAGCTCTCCCATCCACACCCTCACTGAAGCGGGCTGGGAGAGGAGCAATTCCCGGGGTGCAGTTATCATGGAGTGAGGGCCAGACGGGGCTTGAGGGTGCTGGGAGCACCAGCTTAGGGTGCTCTCTGACCCAGCGTCCCGGCCGGGAGCACAGCACGGTTCAATTGTCTGGCTGCGTTTCCGCTGGGAGGGGATGCGTTTTTCATTCCTCCTTGGCCATGGGACCCTGGTACACCCCCCCCCCTCTGCTCGTGAATAGGAGGGGTGTTTTGGGGGGTGGGAAAAGGCCTGTTAGCGGAGGCACAAGGCCAAGAGAGGATGGGGATGGCCTTTTCTTGAGGTCATGGCTCTGCAATACCTTGCAGAGATTTCGAGACATTTAAAGAAGGTCCTGAAAAAATAATCTGGGCTGTGGAAAGGGACAGGGGGTGATGGGGAGGTGAGCAGAGTTTAAGCAAGGGGTTGCTCCAAGCATGGGCCAGTCCCCTGGGGAATGAAAGACCTGGGGCAGGCTGGCCCAGCCAGCTTTTGCCCTTCTCCCTGCACTTTCCCACAGACCGATCCCCTGACCTTGCTCCTCCAGAGAGGCCCGGGGCACCCCACCACTGCCCGGCTTGCTGGACTGCGCCTTATGCTCCCGGTCCCTGCGTGCAGTGCTGCGAGATCGGGTGGGGGGAAGGTGCAGCTCCTCGGCTGCCCCAGCATCTTCCAGGAAGCCCTGCAGAGATCGCAAGCCTTTCCCTATCACCCTGCCCCAGCAAAACCGCTGCGGGACAAGGGTACATCCCAAGGGCTTTCGGCTCCTTTAGCCTTGGGAGAAGCAGCTGGTGTGGAGAGCTGGGAATGCCCCAGACAATCATGCAGGGTCAGGCCATGCGGAGATGGGATGCCTGGACGCACCGACCGCCTGAGCGTGAATTCCCTGCATGGTCTTTTCTTGAGCGGCACGTCTGACCTTGTGTTGCAGCACAGCAAAAAATAACCGTAGGCCCAGTGAGAGGAAACGCACCAGGCGAGTGCGAGGGAGGCAGTGGGTTTGGCAGAGCCGCTCGCTGGGAAAAGCAGGGGGGGGACGAACTAGAGAGGGAGGACATGGCACCTTGTAACCCCTGTCTGTGCCGCGGTTTCATCGCCTGCACTCCTCCAAGCGATCTCCAAATCCCCTGCGTCTCAGGACTAAAAATATCCCTGCCGCCCAGCGCTCCTTCCCCAGCAGAGGCTGTGTCATAAGACCCTGCTATTTACGGGGCCCTGCTTCGATTTGTGCAGCAAGAAGCGTGAGGACAAGAAAGCCAGGAGGGCAGGCACGGCGTGCAAGCCCCGGGCACGGATCGGTGGCAGGCTGTGTCCCCCCGCAAGCCCCCTGTCACCCGGCTGCCGCCCACCCTGCCGCGCTGGCTGATGCCTTTGCTCTGCTCAGCCTCCTCTTCCCCTGAACCCCGCGGGTACGGGGGGATCCCCTCCTCCCGGGGGCCTCGGGGCGCCGAGGGACACCGATGCCACTGGGCAACAAGCCCATGGCCCAACAGGTCCCCGAGCTCAGCCGCTTCCCAGGCAGGTGCCCCCCGCTCCCCGAGCATCCCCATCCCGGGCAGGGAGCTTCCCGGGCAGCCCCTGCCCGAAGCGGCCGGGGGAGCGGTGCCGGCGCAGCAGGTTGGCGCTCCGGGGGTGGAAGGGACGGCACGGCTGCTTCGCAAGGGCCATCGGGCGAGTGTTGCGGGGGGGGATGCGGGCAGCCCGAGCCCTGCCCGCCCGCCCGGTGCGGTGCCCCGCTCCCCTTCCCGCCCACCCCGCGGCCGGCACCTACCGGGCAGCCGCCGGTTACGGCTCTGCGGCCCCGGGCC